AGGACACAGAGTAAGCTGTGGTGATCATTCAAACAAGATTTAGGAGCTCTGGGGATAAAGGCACCTTCTCCCAGAGAGAGACCACTGCAGGACTTCTGCCCATGGGGTCATCACTGATTCATCCCTGGAGGAGGGCCGGCTCACTGGGCAGCTATCAGGAGCAGATATTCCACATTTTCTGGAAGCGATGGGAGTATGTTATCACACGGTGGCAGGCTGTGATTCAGCAGAACTCCATGCTCCTCATGGATCACCTCCTCATCCAGGCTACAGTGAGTCTCAGTTTACTTCACCTGGGGCTTTGGGTCAAGCTCTTTCTATCCTTGGCTGGGATTTCCATGCTCTCACTCCCAGCTGAGCTGCCCAAATATCACTCCATAAGCAATGAAAGCAGTGCTTTAGCCATGCAAAGAACCCACAAGGACCAGGCTTCTGGCTCAGGCAAGACCCCAAAAAAAGGTGGGGGTAAAAGGCATACTTTATCCTCCTTATCCTGGAAGATGACAAAAATAATAACAGTAATAATAATAATTATTATTATTCTGTTGTCCTTTCCTTCTTGTCCCCCTGCCTGTTCAGGCAGAGACTGTATTGTGCATACAAAACTCCCAGCATAACAAAGTCTTGGATCCTATTTAGAGACTGTACAATTCCAGGAAAAATAACAGATTATATCAGACCCAGAATACACTCCTTAACAAATAATACCACTTCAAAAAGAAAAAAAATCAGATTTAACCATAACACAAGAGATTAGGTATATCCAGCAGCTTCTCTACACTGCCACAATTTGAAATCCAATATTCTTTGCCCAGCAAAGGAGTTCTGAGGTCAGGTTTTGTGATACTTCCAGCAGCAATATGGGATGCTGTGCATGGAAATGTGGATTTGCCACCACAACCCAGGCAGAGAAGTGCTACATTCAGGAATGGTTTTCAGAAACTGCTATGGAATAATTCTTTTATTTCTTCTAAGAAACCAGGTTTTAATTCATTGTAGTATCAGGAACTGTAGTATCCAGATTTGATAACCCAGAATTTACAGATTCAGAGGCAACAACCTTAGTTACATCCACAGAACAAATGAGGTTGTACAGACACAGACCAGCTGAGCTTGGCTTGAAATTTTTGATGCCCTTGGAGAATTCTTTATCAAGAATGTCCCCTTTGATTAACCTGTCTAGGGTGTAAATTGGTCCCATTCTTCACCTTCTGCAATGAAAAACCAGAGTGTGCCACCCACAAGCTGCTGCCATTCACCCACCTCTTCATCCCACACCTCAAAATCATCACCAACAAACAAAAATCAGAATAACTAAATGTGAACTGACCAAATCTTCCAGCAGCCTTGATCCAATGAAAACCACACCCATTATCCCAGGATAGACACCATTACTGACAAATACAGTCTTTTTTTTTTTTTTCTTTTTTTTTTTTGCCTACACCATGCCTTGGGTTCTCCTCTCCCAGTAAGGCCCAAAGCAACAGCAGTAACTTGTCTTTTTAAGAACTGGTTCCACAAAATCCCCTCACAGTGATGGCACAAGCTAAGTCAAACATTTGACCTCTTTCAAAAGCAGAATTTAACCCTTAAAAAATATAAAGTTATTTAAAGGTCAGTATTTACAAAGCATAAATCCCTAAAAGTAAAATACATAAATCTCAGGCAGAATTTTGGAGTTTTTCTGTGACTATGGTTGTAAGAACTGGAGTTTAATGGTAACAGAACAAATATCACATGAAAGTGTGTGTAAATGACAGTCTTGCCTATACAAAGCCACAATTTCATCAGTGTGAGGAGGCTCATTTATTTCACTTCTCTTACAGGCACTCAATGTGTGAATCTGCCCAAAGATCGGGGTCAGAATTCCCCCTATTTTGCTGAACTGGAAATGAAAATCCAAAAACATCCATCCTTTTTCTTGTCCACATCAAATGTTTCTTTGCTTTGTGCTTGCACCAAACACAAGGTCATGACTCAGGTGAAATTACACATTAGGGAGCCACAGGGTCACCAGACCAATGTCAGATGCCTCATCCAAGCTGAAAAATGTAAAGTTTAATCTGTAGTATCTCTGGAATGAAGCTGCCCAAACAAAAAGAGGACACACACTTTGAGGCTTTCCAAACATTCCCAAAATTGGACAGGATCTGCCTGGGTGCAGAATGGGTAATCCTGGCTAAGAATCCAGCTCTTATCCCATTCAGGGATGGAGCACAAGAACATTGAGATTTGTTTAACTTTCCTTCTGGTACCAGAAAAGGCTGATTTCAAAACAGAACACAGAAAACTCACACAATGCACATGAAATCCCCCTTTCTGAAAAAAAAAGGCATATCTGAGTATTCATCTTGCCATATTCTTGTATATTTCGCATTATTTTTCTGTACATGTTCGGGCAGAAAACTTAAATCTTGCAATGTGCCAAATCTTAAGAGTCCAGACACTTCCAAGAAGGTGAATTTTCAAAGTTCCAGCTCTAAATATGCATGGATGAGGCTGTGTCTGCTTCTTGAAGGATGTAAAGAAACACCACCATGTGACAAAATACAGTTAATTAAACAAAACCTTATCAAGGATGATTGTAATGAACCCAGTTTGTCTCTTCTACATCACAACAGCAATTAGAGATCATAGAATCATAAAATCATGGAATGGTTGGGGTTGGAAGGGACCTTAAAGCCCATCCAGTGCCAGCCCTGCCATGGCAGGACACCTTCCACTGTGCCAGGCTGCTCCAGCCCCAGTGTCCAACCTGGCCTTGGGCACTGCCAGGGATCCAGGGGCAGCCACAGCTGCTCTGGCAATTCCTGTGCCAGGGCCTGCCCACCCTCTCAGGGATGAATTTTTTCCTAATATCTTCACTTAAATTTCCTCTGGTCCAATTTGGAGCTATTCCCCTTGTCCTGTCACTCCAGTTCCTGATGAATTGTCCCTCTCTGGATTCCCTGTAGCCCCTTCAGACCCTGGAGTGTGCTGTGAAGGCTTCACAAAACCTTTTCTTCCCCAAGCTGAAAAATCACAATCCTCTCATCCTGTCTCCCTAGGTGCTCCAGTCTCTCTTATCAACTCTGGACTTGTTTCCATGTCCTTCTCAAGCTGGGGGCACCAGAGCTGTGACCAGTGCAGACACAACAGCCCACCACACCAAAGAGGCTTTCCCACATCCCCTGCACCACTTTAATCCCTTTTTTATTTTAAAGAATGCAGCTATGTCCACTTTTAAAGCCGAAATGACCCGAGCATCCATGGCTGCTTTCCAAAGAATGTGTTTAGACCACAGCAGGCCCTAATGACATAAACAGAAATCAGAAGGATTTGAAGTGGAGTTGGCCAGCTTTCCTACCCCAAACACAGCATTAAAGTAATTGCCTTCCTCACACCCTTTTTCAATAAAACAGCAACTTTGGGGTGATGCTCTGCTGAGAACAGGCTCCTGCAATTCCCTTGAACACACCATTACAGAGATTTTTATTCAGCGCTCTTGCTGTAATAAGATACTTTCATACCCGGCCTTGCCCTCTCCCACTAACTCCTGTGGTTACAAAAACCTTCTTTGGGCACCAGTTTTGGCAGAAAGCATGGAACTGAGTTATTCTTTATGTTATTTCTGTTGCTGTGGGCATTTAAACAGCATGAAGAGGTACTAAATCCCCTTCAATGTTTTCAAGTCTTACCAGTTGTAACTAATATTGAGGCAAAACCTCAGTTTTTTGAGGGGAGGAGGATTTGTTTTTCTGCTCTTTCCATAAAAATAACTGAGGACCAGAAGGCTGTGGAAGTGCTGGGTCTGGAAAACCTGCAGAGGGGGAGAGAACGAGCTCTCCCACTACTGCAACTCATCCTAGTAACTAAACATGACCCAAAAACAACACAGAGGGAGAGAGAGAGAGAGAGATTCTTTCATTCACTGAGTTTTACAGAAAAAGGGAGTTGTTTAAAATAATATTTCATTTTTATTCTATGCTTCAGTTAAAAATAAGTTGTACAGTGGAGCTTTTTCTAGAGAGAGCTACTGACTGGTAGAAGGCAGCCAGCTGAGGAGAAGCTCCATGAAAGAAGTTGCAGAAAATATAACTTAAAAAAAAACCCAAAAAACAGACAGAAAGGCAGTCAGAAAGAATGAAAAGAGTCCTTAAAAGTCATCCAATGACACCTTCCACTGTGCCAGGCTGCTCCAAGCCCCAGTGTCCAACCTGGCCTTGGGCACTGCCAGGGATCCAGGGGCAGCCCCAGCTGCTCTGGGCACCCTGTGCCAGGGCCTGCCCACCCTCACAGGAAGGAATTTCTTCCCAATGTTCAACCTAAATTTCCTCTCTTTCAGTCTGAATGAATTGCTACTTGTCCTATCGCTCCAATTCCTGAGAAATTTGTGTGCAATACCCCAAAATTACTTGTTCTCTGCAACAGCTGCATCTGCCAGGTCCCACAGGTTCCATAAAGAAGGATAAGAAAACCACAGCAATAATATTAATAGTAATAATAATAATAATAGTCACAATACAATAAAAGCAAACCCTTCTGAAACACAGCAAACCAATGCTGGTTTTAAGGCGTTTTAAATGTCACAATGAATATGTGTAAGAGATGCTTGTTTGGATCTGAATTTTTGCATTATGTTCATTTTCCTTCTGCAGTTGAATTTAATATTTGTCACTGCATGTTGTGGAGCAGAATCAGGGACACAGAAATCCAGTAGTTTTCAAGGAGGTACATTTTATCAAACACACCAAATATTAAAGGATGATCAAAGAGTGTTAATTTTAGAAAAAGTTATCTTTAAAATATCCACGTGCTTCAGAGCAGATCACACAGGTGTCAGCAACAAAGACTGCAGGGCTGACTCAGACAACAGCATGTAAATATTGAGGAACAAAAAAGGCCTTGTTGGGCAGTAGCAGAGTTTATAAACATGCAAGAAAAGCTGTGGCATGTGTACATATTCACTAATTTTATGGCTCTCCAAACATCTGAGGACTCACAATAAACAGGAAACTAACCTTGATGTGAGCTGCTGGATCGGGGACAGTCTGAATCATGTCCTTTAACAGGCCAACGTGTTTACCAGGAGCTCAGATCCCCAGGCAGCTGCATAACCAGAGAAACAAAAGGCATATCATTATACTTTAAATGTTTATTTTCAATAGAAATCTCTTTTTATAGACTGATAAGCATCTTTCCTTCCCCAGACCTCCTCGAGACTCAGCACAGCTGAAGCTCTAAGACACTTCTGCCTCCATAGGGTCTGTTGAGGATTTATTTCCTACAGGAGAAAACACTCAGCCCTGAAATTGTCATGGAAAAATGGCCTTTATTTGCATAAAGTACAGTTTTCCCGAAGTAAGAATTTGGGACATGCTCTGCCCTGCCCAGCCCCATTATTCACCCAAGATATCAGAGATTTCCACAAGCAATTCTTCCCAATTTAGAAACACGCAGCAGGACTGGGACAGATCTGCAGCTGATAGAAAAAAAGCACCATTTCACTGAAGCTGTGCCCGTTTACAAGAGCTGCAAATCTGGTCCAGACCCTCAATTAACAGCACTTCAGAGCAGGGATGTTCTGGAATCCCTTATCCATGTCCAGTAATCGAGTGCAGAGGGGCTGGGGCAGGTGGGGTGCATTTGTCTGCATGTGTAGGGGGTGGAAAACCATGAAAGCTCTTTGAAATAACAACAGTTTTTAATGTAAATAATGTGCAGTACTACTCAGTAACTTGAACACCAAACAACTGCTAATAAATTGGGATAAATAAATCAAAAAATTAGAAAATGTGGAAAAATGTGGGAACACGAACATCATTTAAAGTAATCTTGTCTTTTTCTCTGTTCTCCCTTAAAAAACTGGAAATTTCCATTTTTCACACAAGAGGTTTCTTTCTGCCCATGATCTTGAACTCAGCTTTTAAAGCAGCAAGGCACGCTCAGGGAAACAGTAATTTTCCTCAGCATCAACTTTTTTAAAATTTCATTATCTGCTCTCACATTTACACTAGCTTGAACATCAAATTGCATTTTTTTCTCTGTTCTCCCTTAAAAAACTGGAAATTTCCATTTTTCACACAAGAGGTTTCTTTCTGCCCATGATCCTGAACTCAGCTTTTAAAGCAGCAAGGCACTCTGGAAACAGTAAGTTTCCTCAGCATCAAGATTTTAAAAAATTCATTATCTGTTCTCACATTTACACTAACTTGAACATCAAATTGCATTTTCACCTATTGATTTAGGTAAATATTGCCTGGCTAACACTGAGCTGCAGCTTGCCCCAGAGACACTGAAGTGAGGGAACCATCTATGAACTATTCAAGCCTAATTTGCATAAATTGCACTAAACAGTGCAATTAAAGGTATCACCATTTAGATCTTTGTACACCTCCCCCTTACTACTACTTTAAAAAGCCAACTTCCCCCCACTTCAAATCCATGAAAATAAATGAATTCATTTGAAGGCCTATTAAAGAAATCCCTAAAAAAGCCAAATTCCCACTTTGTCCACTTTTCCCAGCTATCTGTGGATGATCAAATGGGATATTGATGTCATGGTTTTAAAGGAAGATTTTTCTTTCCACAGAACTTCAAAAGCAAGAGATGCTTTTTCAGTAAAAGCAAAATTCCACCAGCAACTTTGTTCAGATTGAAGTCAGACAGAAACACCAACAGCACTGATGTGCTTTTAATTCCCTCCCTTCCCCAGTAAATCCATGCCTGCCACATCCTCACTGGATTTATGGGATTCATATTTTAAGCTTTCGAAACATCACACACAGGATCTGGAAACTGCAAAGTTTCACATAAACTGGACAGAAGAGTATTTTGAATCCAGTGTTAGATCATGCTCTCAGTGTTTTTATACTCCCAGCACTGTGATGCCACAACTGCACCTCGCCCCCAGTTACAGAAGCCCACCCAGGAAAGAGGATTTGTGCCACACCCAGATTTATTTTGGTCTCTCAAAGCCTTTTCTCAACTTCCAACAGCACCTAAGCTTAGAAAATACATCCTGAGCTCCGTCCCCAAAAATGCCCTGTGTCACTCAAACCAGAGCTTTCTCTCAGAGCTCAGTCTTGAAGCTCTCAGAGCTAAAGAGAAGGTGTTTGAGCTATTCCAGGCCACTCATTTCACATCTTTTCCCCAAAAAGATGGATCCTTTCTGGAAGAGAAGACGACAGAGAACATTTGCAAACCAGTTGCCAACTCTGCACCACAAGGAATGGGAATCAAAGACAAGCAAATGTTGTCATATGTGAGATGGAAAAATGAGTATGCAAACTGTTCTGGACATTTGACTTTTCCCTTGTACTGTTATGAACTTAAAAGTGGGAATTCTGCTTTAAACTCAACCTTTGGCAGTGTATTCTTCTTTCTCACCTGGATATTCCAGTCTTGCTACTCTAAAGTAGGACAAGTCTGCAAAATAAACAATTTTTGTCTTTTCACCTCCTTTAAACTCAACCTTTGGCAGTGTATTTTTCTTTCGCACCTGGATGTTCCAGTCTTGCTACTCTAAAGTAGGACAAGTCCTGTTTGCAAAATAAACAATTTTTATCTTTTCACCTCTGGAAATCCTGGCTAGGAAAAAAAAAAAAAAAAAGCTGTGATAGCTTTCCTTGCTCCTTCCAAACAGAAATACAATTTTCATTATTTCAGCTCCACCTTTACAGGCTGGAATTGGAAGCTTCCAGACATTTGGTATTAACTTGCTGAAGCAGATGGTATCTATTGCCAGACCCTCCGCCACCCCCACCCCAAATTTCATGCTGGTCATGTCTGTGCTTGATGGTCTGTGACAGGCTCTGCTTGTGGCTACAGGGATTGCCCTGCATCCCCTAAACTAGCAGCACTCTAAGGAAAGAGCCAAAACTGACACTAAAACCTGGTTTAGCAAGACATCTCTTTCCAGGAAACTGAAGCAAGGCCATTACAACACAAACTGAAAGTTAAACACTTGCCTGGTCATGTCTGTGCTTGATGGTCTGTGACAGGCTCTGCTTGTGTCTACAGGGTTTGCCCTGCATCCCCTAAATTAGCAGTACTCTAAGGAAAGAGGCAAAACTGACACTAAAACCTGGTTTAGCAAGACATCTCTTTCCAGGAAACTGAAGCAAGGCCATTACAACACAAACTGAAAGTTAAACACTTGCTTAACAGCCTTCCTGATTTAGGGTTATCCTGAAAGAACATCCTGGACATTCTGCTTATCCTGCATAACCCTCTGAGCAACCTGGGATAGTGGAAGGTGTCCCTGCACATGACAGGGGTGGAACGAGTTGATCCCTTCCAACCCAAACCACTCTGTGATCCTATAGAAGGATAAATTTGTAGCCACAGAGCTACACCTCCTTGCATCCTGAGTCAAGACTAGCATTTCCTAATCCAGCTTTAGCAGCACAGGTTTTTGGGACTGGTTTCCATCCTTTGTCACATCCAAAGTGTCACAGAGAAGGATGGCACTAGTGAGAAGTAGCAAAACTTGAGGCAGGAGATGTAAATTCCCCTCTGATGCTCAGGACAGATTAAAATATCGAGACAGAAACAAGTTATTGAACAAAGCCAGCCAGAGCTGGGTGTGCCAGTGCCACCCCACACAGGAGGAGACAGATAAGCTCTGGAACCTGTTGTTTTTCTGAGCACACATTTGAGGAGTTATGTAAATACATCAAAGGGTCAGGGAGTCATGTACAGATCTACAGCTCACCAAATGTGATTGCATTGTTCTTTCTTTTCTGTAGATGTATTAAGAGGATCAAACTTTTTAATGGACACATATTGCCAAATTACTGAGGCTGAACATCCCCTTTACACAGGGTCTGAATACAAACCTCTCTCATGCATTCTCTCACCTTAGGTGTATTTTCAGTAACTTGGAATGCTGTGCTCATGTAAAAACCCCAGCAGGTTCCTCCCGATGTGTCCTAAACCCTGCACCAAAGGGCTGCAGTGCAGCGTGACCAGGCAGTGAGCGAGGCTGACAGAAAAGGGCTCCAGGCCAAACTCCAGCATCACAACGCCCACGAGGAGCAGAGCGGGGCTGCAGCAAACAGAAACACGGCCTGTGCTGCTCTGTGCCAGGAATGAACGTGGCCCAAATCACAAACAACAGGATCACTGAGGCTGGAAAAGCCCTGCAAGGTCTTTGAGGACAAGCTGTGCCCGATGCCCATCTTGTCGCACAGCTCTGAGTGCCACCTCCAGGCATTCCTCGGACACCTGCAGGGATGGGCACTCCAAAGCTCCCTGGGCAGCCCCTTCCAGGGTCTGACCATCCCTTCCATGGAGAAACTCCTCCTGGTGTCCAAGCTGAGCCTCCCCTGGCCCGGCCTGGGGCTGTTTCCTCTTGTCCTGTCCGTGTTCCTGAGGAGCAGAGCCCGACCCTGCTCTGGCTGAACCCTCCTGTCAGGGAGTGGTAGAGGCTCCCAGGAGCCTCTTTTTATCCTCTTTAGCCTTTTTTCTCCAAGCTAAAAGTACTTTTCTGCACAGGAGTCCTGGGTTACAAGCTGTGCCTGGGGGTGTGTTCAATTTCCATCTGTCAGAGCTGGGGCAGTTCTCTGCTGTTCTTGGGGCAGTTTTTTCTTTCTCTCTCCCACAGCCAATCCTCCCTCCAGGAGATCTCTGCTGTCCATGGCCACTGAGTGTCCCTGCAGGGCTGATCAAATTCCAGCATCCCATGGGGAGATGCTCCGCCCAGGGCAGGAGCCAAGCATTCCTACCTGGATACAATCTGAGCCTGGAACAGCACAGCAGCCTTTGCCCACTGCATTGCCAGAGGAGCAGCTTTCTCCTGCCCTGCATTCCCAGAGGGAGAGCAGGCCCATCTCCAGCAGCCCTGGAGCTGCAGAGGAAAACTGCAGCCTTGTGCAGGATCCCTGCTCCAGCAGAAGCACAGCTGGCACTGCAGGAGGGCTGAGCCACCATGGGATGGGACTGTGCCACCACCCTGACCCTCAGGGGGACAGGGCATGCTCTGACTCTGGCAGTGTTGGTTTGTATTACTGCATTGATTAATTTTATTTTTATTTTCTTCCCTAATAAATAACTGTCATTCCTACTACCATATCTTTGCCTGAGAGCCTTGTCATTTCAAAGCTATA